TGTGCAGAGAAAAAAATTCGAATACGGTGATTACATAAAATGATAATATCGATGGCTAGATTCAAAATGTGCGTATCTGCATTGCAACGCTTTAAAATCTCATCCGACTTCGCTCTATTTTAAGATAAAACAACGATACATCTCCTTGGAATTTTCTGCGAACATGTTCGATTGAGTGAAGACAACTCCAAGAAAATTTTAAATTTCAAAATTTTCAAAAACTGTCGGTTTATTTTGTTTTTTAAAAATTTAAACTTAAAATTTACAACGTTGCAGCCGGAGATAAGCACATCTCAATTTTAATCATCGATAATATGTTTTCCAGAGGATGGGATCCAAATTAAAGTCATCTTGGTGAAGAAACCAAGAGAATTTTTTATTTCTGTTCATCTCCTGGACATCAATGGCTTTCATCCCGCGTGTCCCAATTCCTTCTCTTATTCGAGAAAAATTTTTTGTCACCCTCACCAGCAAGTTAAATTTCGTTTCATCGCTGCACGTGTCATGGCTACTGTCTCTTCGCTCATCTCGATTAAAATTTCGACTTCGACCTATCGCCCGGCGACTGGAAGTGTGGTCAACGCGAAGGCGACTCATTAGAGGGGCCGCATATTAATTTGGCGGGACGGGGCGGGTAATGGAGAGATGAGGAGGAAGAGGAGGAGAAAAAATTGAAATATTTGTAAATCACGAAGTCACGGTGGTGCTCAATCAAGGACATCGTGAGCCCGCGCCCGGCGCTCCAACTCGTCATTACCGGCGAGTCGCCAGTTTTGTCCGGGCCGCGCAGCCGCACTATTATTTCCCGGACGTCTCCCTCTCTCCTCCCGTAAAATCCCAGTCCAAGCCGGATTTTACACAGTCGAAAGGTTAATTTTCAACTCAGAGACTCGACGAATCAAACTGAATATGATAAAAAAAAGTCTCTTACTTGCACTGCCGTGTTAAGAAAGAACGCCGTACGAGTCTTCAGGCGTTGACAAATTTCCATCAATTAAAAACGAATTTTCTGGGAAAATTGTTAATATTCTCTATCCAATTTTTTACATGATTTTGTTCGTAATTTGATCAAAAATATTTGAAAATTTCAGGGAAAAATGAGCATTTACTTCGCAGACATCCTATCATAGATTAAATTTTAAAAGGGAAACTAATCTGCCGTGCTAAGGAAGAGCGCCGTATGAGCTATCAGGCGTTGTCAAATTTCAATCGGTAAAATGCAAATACCCTGGAAAAACTGTAAATATTTTTCTTCCAATTTTCAGATTACTTCGTTCGCGATTTGATCCAAAATGTTTGAAAATATCAAGGAAAAATGGATATTACTTCCTTCAACAATACATGTTTCATTCGGAGAAATGTGGCAACTCTTGACTGTTCATACGGCGTTCTTCCTTAGCACGGCAGTGCATTAGGATTCAGTAATTATTTAGTCAGAACCTGCGATAAAAAAGAAGGGAATTGGGGGAGTATTCATGGGAGGTGGATTGGAAGAGGAATTAAAGGGTGCAAAAAATTGCTGTGAAACATGTATTTTGTTCAAAATTGCTTCTGGTCGAAGGAGCGTTATCTACCATAAAATGGTCATGACGACAATTGCACAGAGAGAAAAGGTAATCGGCATCTTGTGTGAATGTGAGAGGTAGAAGACAAAGTAACATAAAGGTGAGTTTGATGTTTCGTGGTTGGTTTTACTTTGAGTTGTATTAATCAAATTTTAGGGTTGAAAATTTGCTATCTCATTAAAAGTCAGACGCGAGCTGCAAGGATCGAGCCTGGATCGCATTGATGACAGTTAATTTAAAAATTTTAAAAAGTTGAAGAAATTATAACTATTGTAACAAGGGTAAGAAGTGAGGAATCGCAAAAATTGCGATAGATTTCCTGAACGAGAGGGAAAATCGAGAGAAGGAAAATGATTGGAACTTTCAAAGGAGAGAAAGTGAAAGGAGATTATAAAGAAACAGGACAAAGAGATGATGGAAATGAACAAAGGGTCAAAAAACGCGCTCCTAAAGCAGTTGGAAGGAATCTCAATACTGTCAGCAATAATCATATGCGACATGTGAGAAGTCGCATAAAATTTTGCGAATACACAGAGACTTAATTTGAATACGCATATAACTCGTCAACTATTTAGCATTCAGGACTCTGAGGGTCTTGCCGGACGCAAACATTTGGGAAGCAAAAAAACAAAACCACAATCCCGAAAACGATTCGTTGACATCCGGCACAGAATAGCCTGGGCAACGCGCAGAGAATTATTAATCGGTCAAGGAGCTGATGCTGTCTCAGAATTTCGAAATGAAAACTTCATACTTTGATGCTCATTGCACCAAGCAAACTTACTGACCCACAGTAAGTGGTCGACCTATGGAACAATTTTCCAAAGTTTTGGTTTTACTATACAACGCGAGCTATTCGGGAGTACATTAATACCATCAGGAATTTTGATTATCTTTTTACAAAAAGTTGACCCTGATATTCTAAATGCATTCACGCGAACCAATGATCAATTGAAATTGAGTTGCTAAAATGTTCTCAGGTTACTGTCATGCTCATGCTAGAAAAACGCTTTATGAACATTTGGATGTGGCCAAATTTCACCTTATTAAACATAAATTTCCTGGAAAACTTTAGAATTATTCTCGTTGAATTTTTCAGAAAACTTCATTCAAAATTCAAGTTTGCGTCTCTAAAAATTTCAAAGAAAAATTTTCGCGGCTTTTCTCATGAATAACCATTTCATCGAGCCGAAACATGGCAACATTCGATTGCTCATGCGGCGCTTTTCCTTAGCACGGTAGTTCACCTCCTAAGAGCGCAGAGAGCGCTGAAGTCCGGCGCTTACTCGCTTTTATTATTGGCGCCTGCGATAATGCCTTCCTCGCCCCCCTGACCCCCCTCTTCCCGAGTGGCGCCCTCACCGCGAACGTCTTCTTCGCGATTCCAGACGGAAGTCGAGAGAGACTGATTGCAGCGAGTTAGGATTCGCGCTGTTCCGAGCGAAAAATGGATGAAAAAACGAAAATGAGGAGAGAGAAAAATTGAAATGAGCGAGGAGCTTTGCGATTCGTCCGCGCATTTACGCGTTTCTCGTGCCGCCGACACAGTGAGCCGGTTCTTTCCAGTGGCGTGGTGTGCTTTGCGATTTATCGATTGAATTGCCATTTAAACCTTTGGGAAAGTATCGATAAAGACGTTCTTCGCAACGAACACCTGAATCATCGATTTTTTATCATAGCTTCAAATGGGGAAATATCGATAGTCGATCATTCACGCCTCGCCACTGGTTCGTTGTGTTGTCTTCGGGTGAGAATGAAAGGAAAGCTTTCGGATAATGAGGGTGAATAAATCAGTTTTGGGTTATGGAATTATTTCATTATACTCCATACATGATAACGGGTCCGTTGCACTTAGTGACGATTATGCAAGTTGGCAGTACTGTATTTTTTCCATTTGAAAGCATGTAAAACAATCGATTTTCGGTGAAGTAAGCAGCTTCGCCAAAAATCGATTGTTTTACATGCATTCAAATGGAGGAAAAACAGTAATGCTACCGGTCAAGAATCTCCGCTGGTTGCACCTAAAGTATGAACATCGCACGAAAATCTCGACACGGGGAGAGGGGG